TAAACTGCTCAGGCTGAGGGGCTGGCTTCCCTGACAAGCGCAAGGGCCTGAGTTCAATCCTTGGTTCCGCAAAAAAAAAAAAAAGAAAGAAAGAAAAAAGAAAGGCCTGGGAATGTAGCTTGGTAAAGGGGCCCTGAGTTAAATCTTTAGCCTTAGAAAAAAACAAAAACCAAAATAGGCCTCCTTCCATAGCCATCTCTCCAGACACAAGTATTCTGGGAGCTGCACAAGAGCTGGGAAAGGATGTGTGTGGGGCTACAGTGCTCAGTGAGCACGGAGAAGCACTCCAGGGGACCCAGGGTCTCCACTGGGTCCAGCAGCAGAGAGAAGGAGTCACAGGGAGGCTCAGGGCTGAAAGACAAGAATCCTCCAGCCCTGGGAACCAGGATCCAGCGTGCAGGCTCCACTCAGGATGTGCAGAGGTGAGTGTGGGGTCTACCAAAGGCTGGAGCTGTGGAGCTCCAGTGTATCTAGCACAGTAAGTACTCAGGATCTGCACTGGGCAGCTCGAGGTGGAGTGTTCAACTGTCACATGCTGCTGACATCATTATGCTTTTGGGTTTTGTGGTACTGAGGATTGAATTCAAGCCCTTCAAAGGGAGCTACATCCCTAACGCTTTTTTTTTTTTTTTTGGACAGGGCCTCCCTGTATGACTAAATTGTGCCCAACGGGGTCACACTTGTGATCCTCCTCCCTCAGCCTCTCAGTGTTGGGAGTACAGGGGTGTGAGAGTTTGTAGCCCTAACTATCCACCCATAAGTGTGTCACCCACATGAGCTACTCTGTATCATGTCACATTGCTCAACTGTTGTGTCCTACACATATCCAGGCCCCATGCTGAATTCTTGTGCCTGTCTGGGGTTTCTGAGTCCAGCACCAGGAGCGGCCAGGCCATGGAAAAGGGGAGAGCAAGGGATGGACCCTATACCTGGACACCAAGCGGGTAAGGAGCGGCTGCCCACAGGGCAGCCAGCCAGGTGGAAACTGAACATGGAGATCCAGGGAAGGGAGGAGGCCCGGATAAACGGGGATGGGTGGTGGATGAAGGGGCCGGGATGGATAGGATAGAGGAAGATGCTGGAATGGAGTAAGTCAAGGTGGAAGAAAAAGAAAGTGGAAGAACAGTAGGAGGAAGACAACAAACTGGAGGAGTAAGGGTCTTGCTGTCCGCCTCCCAGGCTGACTTGTGGGTCCTCTGGCGCTGGTGGCCACTTCCTCTCTGTGGTTATTGCCCTCAAGGCTATTGCCCTCCAAGCGCTCTGTTCTTTTTAATGCGCGCCACCACAGCCCGGGGCAGACAAGCGCCAGCAAGCAACTGCGCAAGCGTGGGAGCAGAGCCACCCGACTCGCTTTTAAGGTGATCTAAGCGCCAAACCACCAATAAAGCTGTTCCTTTCCACCGTTGGAAAGCTCCGCCTACACTGCCTGGCCTGGGCCTCTCGGGAGGCTTCACCGAGGGCCTTCAACTGACATCTCTCGATGCTGATTGGCTGCTGTTCACCACATCCGGCTCCGATAGGCTGACTCCTGGCCGGCGCGAAGGCCTGGACTCGCCATGGCGCTCTTTCTTATAGGCCGCTTCTGTATGCCCTGGGAGGGTCTGGGCTGCAGCCTTGGTTCTGGTGACTCTGCGTACTTTCTGTGCCTGGCCCTGGGACTTGGTCACCCTCCTTGTACGCAAAACATCTGCCCTCCAAAGTGCTCTCGGTAGGGCTAGCGCTGGAAGCCTGGGGGAAAGGAGGGTACAGCTAGGTGCGCTGCACCCAGCAGAGCTACATAGGGGGCGAGCAGCTAGCAAGGCGGAGGCAAGAGTGTCTCCTCTTTAGCAATGTGAGGCTGGGCTTGGTATCCACGCTTGTCATCACAGCAGTCTTGGAGGCTGAGGCCAGAGATTCACATATTCAGTTACAGCTTTGTCAATTTAGTGAGTTGTCAAGATCCTCCTCAAAATTAAAATTAAAAAAGCTAGGAGATGTAATCCAGAGCAAAAGCCCAGGGTTCAATCTCCCACAAAAATTAAAATACACCAAAAAAAAAAAAAAAAAAAAAAAAAAAAAAACCAGGAGAGAGGGAAGCAGCAAGTAGGGACCCTGAGCACAGACACCATCTTTGCTTGGAAAAGCCTTCAGAAATGTCTGCCTACTGAGGCACCACACTTGTCCCTCACCCTAAGACTTCTGCTCTCTAGGCTGTCCCCCAGCCCTGTCTGTTTCAGCTTACAGTCACAAAAGCTCATGGGGGGCGGGAGGGGAGCTAAGGCAGGCCGTTCTTTGTACACTGCGGACAGTGGTACCATACCTGGGCACTGTGTCCCTGTGGCCAGGCCCAGGTCCAGTGGCAGCAACCCATTCCAAAGCGGAAAGTGGCACACTGCCAGTTGCTAGTTAACCAGCTTATCTTCTTAGATATTAAACCAAAGTTTAGAAAGGTCTGTGAGATGCACAGGTATCTGAACACTTCATGCTGTAAGGAGTGTTTGCTGGGGCTGGGTTGGCTCAGTAGGGCTAGAGCTTGTGTTACAGCACTTGAGGTCCTGGCTTTCGTTCCTGGCTTCACTGACAAACAAGGCAAGGCAGTGTCTAGAAGTGCCCTGCACCCAGGGTTCAGCATGGGTAGTCCTGGGGTCACCTCCAGCTGCCATTCCTGGTCAAAGCCCTGGATCCACAAAAGCACTGGGCTCTGAATTCTTATCACTTCAACGGGGAAGGCTGGGTGGCAAGCATCACCACCCACAGGGACATCAGCGAGCTGATGCTTAAATCCAGAATGGATCTGACTGTTGGTGTCAGAGGAGACACCAACACTCAAGGAGACAAAGCACAAACTCTCCCTTTCTGGAGGCAGACAGCCAGTGCTGCTGGGGACAATCAAGGACTCTGCCCTGGAGGTGGGTGGCAGAGTGACCTGAACATCAGTGCCCCTGGGGCTCCCTCCTGGGCTCCTCTCCTGTCAAGAGCCTGCCTTACCCCAGAATTGCTCCTCCCCCCTGCTGTTGCTGCTCTTGAATCCTTGAAGGCTTTACTGTTCTGGAGGAAAAATAATAAAACAAATGTCTTAAGGTTGACCAAAAAAGCTGTGTACAGTAGTGCATGCTTGTAATGCACTTGTACATGCAGGAGGCCCTGGCTTTCATCCCTAGGACACAGAAAAGAGCCCACAGAGGCTGTCGCCATAGGCGATGAAGGTGCAGCACTTGGGAGGCTGAGGCAAGAGGATCACAAGTTCAAATCCTTCCTGGACAATCTAGAGAGAATTTGCCTCAAAATAAAATAAGCTGGGGATGTAGCTCAGTGTAAAGGCCCTGGGTTCCATGCCCCCAGCACAGCAAAAGAAAAGTGACCAGACATAAAAGGGAAGTAGCTTTGGTCTTGCTGGGCACAGCCTGAGATCTCTCCTGTCTTTCTAGATGCAGTAGCTGTCTCAGGCACCACTAGAAGGCCATAAGTGTCTGTTCTGAGAGTTCTGTGTACAGACACACAAAGTACATGCTTGTCTGTATTCATGCAGACACACCAGGAGAGGAGGCCCAAGCTGCTGCTGCTGCTGCAAGGCTCTTGGGGTGCCTTCAGTGAAGACCCAGAGTCCACAGCAGGGGCTCCAGGTGCACTTCTGCCCTCCACACTACTTCCTGCGTCTAGAGAATGGGAACAAAGCCCTGAAGTTCAGGGCCTGAGGGCTAAGGTTGGTCTACAGGAGACCATGGCACCCAGTAAGGGCACTCTGTCAAAATCACTGCCAGGCCAGGGAAGGTGGAACCTGTACTCTCAGAATTCTGGGAAGCTGAGGCAGAAAGATTCCTGAGTATGAGTCCAATCTAGTAGTGAGACCCTGAACACCCTGTAGACCCTTCCTTATAAAAAAAAAAAAAAAAAAAAAAAATCCATGAGCTAAAGCATCAGAAGCTCCCAGAAGTCCCTGGCCCAGGAACTCTGCCATCTGTGTGTGTAATCTCTTCCTAAACATGTGCAGCCAGCACAGGAGCCAGCAGGGAGGACAGTGTCCCTCCTGCCTGTCTCCCATAGGCCATCCTCTTTCCATGGGGCCTTCTGGCCAGAGCAGTTCCTAACTCACCCCACAGGTGGTAACAGAGAGTTCACCTTTTGCACACTGACAGTGTCCTATTAAGACTGCCTTACAGTCCTATAGGGTCTATACTTTTTCATGTAAAAATATGCCTGGGATAGCAAGGCACAGTGGTGCAGGCCTATAATCCCAGCACTCTGAGAGACTGACAGAAGATTTCAAGCTTGGGCCCAGCCTAAGCAAATAAATGAGACCTTGTTTCAAAATAAAAACTAAAAAAGGGTTGGGGATGTAGATCAGTTTGAAGACCCTGGGTTCAAACCAAAAGTACTGGGAGAAAAAAGTCTGGGAGATATCTCCAATTTAGCCACAGAAGTCCCAGAGTTGTCTAAAGTTAAGGAATTCCCACTTCCCCACCCTCCTTTTGGGCACAGATCAAGGACATCATCCAGCAAAGACTCCCAGACACTAATCCCTGCCTGAGCTCCAATGTGCCGATTCCCACAGTGATCCTCAACACTTCAGTCCTGTGCCACAGACCTCATGGAGGCCAAGCCTGGGGACCCTGCCCCATCTGGCAGCCACTGCAAAGCCACTGCCAATGACTCTTCCTTCTGCTCAAGAAGACCCACCCACCTCCTCAGCCAAAGACCCCAGCTTCTTGCCAGCCAAGTGTTCTCTCGGTGTGGAAGGACAGAGGGACAGAGGCCTCAAGCTAGCCACCAAGTGTCATATGCCCTGTGCACAAGATGGCTGATAGAAGCCCAGGACCTGTACTGACTACAGAGCAGCCCAACACCCCTCGCTTCTCTTTCCTCCGAAAGAGGAAGCTGCCCATCCCCTCCCTCACCCTCAGCCCCAGCCAGCTGTGGCAGGCACAGGAAAGGCAGGTGAGAGGGACTAGTTCCCTAGCAGCCCTGGGTGGGGCCATGGGCTTTAAAGGGCTGTGCGCAGCCCAGAATTGTTCTGACCACCCAGGTAAGCCAGTGCAGAGGTGAGCGTCCAGGTGAGTGCCCAGGTGTGCAGGTACAAGAGGAGGAGTTGGCCCCAGATGCCTAAGGGAGGGTTGTAGGTGGAGGACTCAACAGTGGGCTTCTGAGGACAGAGAGCTTACAGCAGCCTTCCTGGGCCCGGAGGCTTCTGCTTTGACCATTGTGCAGGGATGGGACTGCCCTGGGCTGGAGGAGCCCTCATGTGCCAGGGATTGGGTGGGGGTAGTCTTGGGCCTGACCTACCCCAGTCTCATTGACAAGTCAAGAGTCCACCATCCCATTTGGCAAAATGAGTAGATGTTTACGCATTGATATATTTTAATTTTGGGGGGAGTTAATATATACTTTTTGTACTTTATTTTTATTCTTTTGATATAGGGTCTCGCTACACGGTTCAGACTTGTAATGATCCTCTTGTCTTAGCCTCCCCAGCACTGGGATTGCAGGCATATGCCACCAGGCCCAGTTCCAAGCTAATATGGCATGTGGCACCCAGGACTGAGCTCTGGACCTTGTGCTTGCCAGGCAGGCACTTGTGATGCTAAGCTAGCTCCCCAGCCTTTTTTTTGTTTGTTTGTTTTTTGAAAAAGGGTCTGATTGTACAGTTCAGGCTGGCCTACTACTCCTGCCTTAGCCTCCTGATTGCTGGGATTAAAGGTGCTTACCAGCATGACCAACCCTTTTTGTTTTGGTTTTTAGGCTGGCCTTGAACTCACTATGTAGCCCAGGCTGGGCCTTGAACTCATGGTAATCCTCTTGCCTCTGCCTCTGCCTCCCAAATGCTAGGATTTACAGGGATGTGCCACCCGGGATATAATATATATGTATATACTGTAACAGGTTTTCAGTGGTGGGCTATATAACAAAATTTTTTTTGGTGATACCAGGGATAAACTCATGACCTTGTGCTTGCCAGGCAAGCACTTACTCCACTGAGCTATCTCCCTGGCCTTTTTTTTTTTTTACTTAATAAATGGTTGGTTTAAACCTACCCAAATAGCTTACAAGGGCACTGGAGCCCAGAGAATTTAAGGAACCTGATGAGTGACCAAAATCCCTGATCTCATCCAGGGATGACAGTGGTGGCTTCAGGGCAGAACCACAGTAACCCCAGCCAGACCGATGCCAATGTGCACAAAACAGGGCCCCAGCTACCAAGGACAACTAGTGAGACTGCAGGTGGAACCATGCCCCAGAGGGAGGTGGGCTGTGAGCCATGTGATGGGCTCCTCAAGCAGGGATGGGGGCACTTGGACCAGCACCCCTGCCCTACCTCTAAGCCCTAGCTATGCATTGCTCTGAGCCTCTGGGCTCATGCTGCCTGGGAAATTCGGCCTCCCTAGGTCCTTTGTGAACAACCCGGGGTTACCCTAGTTCAAACTGCTGACCTTGGCCATCTGGTTACCCCTCCCTGAATTCTATTTGTCTCCTCCTGTGACACACCTATGACACAGATAATGATTGTTTTTAGGACTGGGATTATAGTAGACTTGACTATAGTTCTCCAGGCCTCCTTCCTTTAGTGAGCCAACCTGCAGGACCCCAGGCAGGTGCCAGCCTCTCTAGACAAAAGGGGACTGAGCTCTATCCCCAAGCCTGGCAGCTTGCATCCTGCTCCTCATCACTCATCCCTGACCTCTCCACCTGTCTCACCAACAGTCCTACCCCTAGGAGGTGTCATGGAAAGAAAAACCCAGGCCTTCCTCCTGGCATTAGGTGAGTTCAGAGCCTCTCTGGGGGTGGTATGCTAGGAATGACTCCAAGGGCACAATGTGGGCACTGCAGAAATGTTTCATAGGCCTTGGGTCACTGAGCCTGCTTCCTGGGGAGCAGAGAGGTAGCCAGATATTACAGGAAGATACAGACAGACCAACAAAGCCCGTGTTGGTCATCCATTCAGCACAAAGCCAGAAATATTGGAAGCGTGGGGCTGTGTGCTGGGGGCAGAGGTTCGGAAAGGTACCAGAAAAGGCTGTGGTAGGCCAGGGTAGTCTCCAAACCCTACAGACAATACTTTGCCACCACTACCTTCTGTCCTCTGTTCTTCCTGCCCAGGCCTGCCCACCACAGGAGCCAGTGACTTGTTTGGTGAGAAGCATTCCCTTACCCTGAGTCCCATCCCAGCTTGGGTCTAGCCTTTACTTTCTTTTTCTTTCCTCAGAGGACAACAGTCCCTTCTACTATGGTAAGAGCTGCTACCCTTGCCCATACCACCCTGGCCTACCCTCGACCTCTCTGCTAGACAGGTTGGCAGGGACATGGGAGACAGGTATTAAGGCTGTCTGCTACCCTGCCACACTTCAGTTCAGCTGAGGATTGTGGGGTACCATCTCTGATCTTCTTTATGGCTTTTCACCAGACTATGCAGGGATCCCAGCCCACGCCACCTTCTACCAACACTTTTATCCTTGATCTGTGTGCCCCCTGTCCCCACCAGACCCTACGGTGTGTGGTGACCTGATGTAGACCTGTGCAGCTAGATAGATAGGCCTTTCCCCCACTACACAAGCCCCACCCCAGCCTAGTATGAATAAGTACTCTGACAAGTGCTGCACACCTGCTCAGCCAAGCATTACCAATGAGCAGCAGACTCAACCAGCTTTCCATGCTGGAAATGGAGCCAGGGCTCACACAGAGCCTCCCTGACCCCTGGCCTGGCCCCAGCCTGGCCCATGTCTGTCTTGGGCTGAATCTCTCTGCCCCCCTCCCCCACCCCAGACTGGGAGGGCCTGCAGCTGGGTGGCATGATCTTCGCAGGGCTCCTGTGCATCGCTGGGATAGCCTGCATCCTAAGTGAGTGGGGATGTAGGGGTACGGGGTGGGGGAGTGGCTGGGGGGTGGTTCTGACCCATCCTCCCTCCTCACAGGTGGCAAGTGCAAGTGCAAGCAGAGCAAGGGGCCCAGGTGAGAAGGACCTGTGTGAGGGGTGGGGTTCATGAACTGCATGAGTCTGTCATCCACACACCCCTCAAAAGACTTAGGGACAGCTCTGCACTCTGGGAAGACAGAAGACCCCACTGCTGGTTGGTGCTAACTGCTTCTGTCCTTCCTGCAGCCCCTCCACCTGAGGGAATCTCATTCCTCAAGGCAGGTGAGCTGGATACCAGTGGGTGGGCAGGGTCTGCATTCCAGGCCACATGTGTCCCCAAGGCACTGTCCCATTCTTCTTCTTCATTTGCGGTACCTGGGATTGAACTCAGGATTTTGTGCTTGCCAGGAAAGCACTTATTCTATTGAGCCATCTCCCCAGCCCCCACTGTCCTATTCTTTGCAGGCACCAGTGGCTGCTGAGCCCAGGACCAGATGGGTGGGACCTGCTGCCCACCACCTTGCTGCTGGATCCCTCTCAGAATGGCCTGGTCACTTGTGGAGCTTATTTATCTATTAAATGGTCCCACCACTGTGCTTATAGCCTTGTGGGCTCTGTGAGTCTGCTGAGGAGAGTCAGTACACCTACTTGGCTGTTCCTTGTAGCCCCATTTCAAACCCAACCCAACCCACCCCACCCCCACCCCTGCCCAGGGGCCTATCCTTTGCATGGCCTATGGCTGGGCTCCACCACAGCAGGCCCACATGGGCATGAGGCCATCAAGTTGTACCATAAAAGCCCCAGTTTTCAGCCCTTGCCCTGAAGACCCAGGGATCTGGCAGCCCAGAATGACACCCAGTGGGCACCCTCTTGAGGGCATAGAGAACCCCCTCACCACATGTCAGCTCCCTGTGCCTGTGAGCCAAGACAGCAGTTCTTTTATGGCCTCCCCCAGCTGGACATCACAGGGAACCCCCACCCCTGGGGTTTCCTTCATACTTCAGGAAGCACCACCACCCAAGCCCTGTAGGTGGTAGCTTAAATGCCCCCTCAAGCCGTCTGCCGTCCTTCCTGAGCCCTCATTAGCCACCCTCTTCCTACCACAGTCTGCAATGGCTGCTGACCAGAGATGCCAGTACTGACCAAAGGGGCCAGTGGGGACCCACACACCCCATCTTGTCTGCCACCCTCAAAGGTCTCCAAGGGAGAGAAGCAGAGTGAAGATCCCCTGGGCCATGCTCAGGCTCCTGGAGACAGAATGGCATCTGTAGAGGGTAGAAGGGGTCTTGAGGTAGTGGCTAGCAGCCCCCAGGAAAAATGACAGTGGCTCTACTCACACAGCTTCCGTTGGCCTAAGACATGGCCTCTTTACCCCACTGGAGTCTATGGCCATACCATCCTTGAACATGCCTCATCTTGTCAGCCCTCCTGGAAATGGGTCCTCCCTACACCTCAGCCCTGCTGCCCTGCCTGTCCCCGTTACCAAGAACTCAACTGCTGACATCATCCTAAGCAGGCAGTTCCTAGGTGACACTGTATTGGCTGGAAGACATGCTAGGTGTTGAGATGGCCCCTCCAGACTTCCTTGGCAAAATTAGGGGGCCAGGTGGGCTGGGGATAAACCCCAAGTGCGGGTTTTCACCAACTGAGCACCTAGCACAGAGGGACCCACTCCAAACACTTCTTAGTGTATGAACAGTACCTGTGCTAAGGCACTGTGCTGAGGTAACCACAGGTTCTCTGGGCCAACATAGAACACTAGCTGCTTCTGACATTTCTGGAACCTGAGTTCCATTCCTGAAAAATAGTCCTAGACTGAGTGTGCCAGCGGCAATACCTGCTTAGAGATATGCCCTTTCTAGCTTTTATTTTTTTTTACTATTTGTACTCAGAGCCTTTGTGCAAAAGTTATAACCCCAATTCTTTATTTTTTTTGAGACAGGGTTTCACCAAGTCACTAAATTATCCAGGCTGGGCTCCAATTTGCCATCCTCCTTCCACAGGCTTCTACTGTGCTGAGGTTAAAGGCATGTGCCACTACACTCATATTGTTCTGTAAATAAATCCATGGTTTAAAGAAAGTTTATCGGGGCTGGGGAGTAGCTCAGCAGTCTAAATGCCTGCCTGAGGCGGAGAGATGGGTCAGTAGAATAAGTGCTTCCCTGGCAAGCACAAGGGTCTGAGTTCAATCTCTGGTTCCACCAAAAAAAAAAAAAAAAAAAAAAAAAGTTAAACGCCTGCCTGGCAAGCACAAGGACTGGAGTTTCGTCCCTGATACCACATGCTGTGCCAGCCCCTGAAACCAGGTGTGGTGGCACATGCGAGTAATCCAAGTGCTGTGGAGGCAGAGGCAGGAGGATCATTACAAGTCTGAGCTGCACAGTAAGACCCGTACCAAATAAAGATTTAAAAAAAAAAAAATTATGCTCCGCTTAATTCTCAGTATCCTGCTCCAGAGCTCTGCCTGAGGAAGCTTGCCTTTTTTTTTTTAATTATTTTTATTTTTATTATTTTTATTTGTGTGTGTGTGTGTGTGGCCAGCTCAGCCCACCAGGGGGCGGGCTGGCTGGCATGTGGTGCTGGGGATTGAACCGTGGTACCTGTGCTTTGCTAATCTTGTTCTAAGTAGGTGCTTTAGACCACTGAGCCATCTCACCAGCCCCGAAGCTTGCCTTCTTTTGAGCTTCCTTTTTAAAATGAGCACATCTTTCTTTCAGATGGGTATATAATTTGGAACAGGGTCTAAGTTGCTGGGTGCTATGTCTCTTAGCCTCCTGTGTAGGTGGGGTTATAGGTATTTGCCACTATGGAGTTTTTACTGCTTTACCTCACTGATTATTCATGTTTATTACAGTAAAGAGGCCTCTCACATTGCAAGCCAGCTTCTGAGAGCACTGCAACACTGTCTAGGACAAGCAGACCTTCTGGTCACCATTCCCTGGAGGACCTGGCTGTCAGAACCCACAGCTGACAACTGGAAAGGGTGCCTGAATCCACACTATTTGTCTTTATGCTCATTCTTCTATTTAAAAACATTTTGCATTTAAGATACTTAGGTATCACCAGCCCATTCCGTGCCCAAACTCCCTGCATGACAGTAGTAGTCATACCCAATATACTGACAGCCACACGGCCATCCACAGTACTGAGACACTCCCAGTCTCATGGTACTTAACTTTTAGTCCTGTGCAGTGTTACATGTGTGTGGAGACACGCCCACCACAACACAGTCCACTGCATGGGTCCCTCATGCTACACTGAGGCCCTGTCCAAAACTTAAAAGGGTTAGGGATGTAGCTCAGTGTTCAATCCAGGGTATTAAAAAAAAAGGTAGGCTTAATTTAGATCCTTGGGTTTCGCCAAACAGGTGGGGCCTGTGTGTCAGCAGCTTTCTAGTAATTAAGAGGAGCAAGTGTACAAGAAATTTCAAAATTCAAAAGTTGTATCAGGGCATGTGGCAGTGACACCTATAATTCCAGCTACTTCAGAGGCTAAGGGAGAAAGATTGCAAGTTTAAGGCCAGTTTAAACAACTTCAGGAGACCATGTCTCAAAGGGAAGAGGTACAACTCAGAGGTGGTGTGCTTTCCCTGCTATGTGTGCAGGCCCAGGTCCAATCTCCAGCAATGAAAAGCTTAAGTTCTGCTATAATTATGCTCTAGTGAAGGGATCTTTGTGGTACTGGACACAACTCAGGGTCAGGCCCAGCTACAGTGTCATCTTTCCTTGGAAAGTACCACAGTGATGGCCTGGAGCACAGGCTGACAGGGCATCCATGGTCTCTTTGCAGCAACCCAGTTCCCTATAGTGGCAACACAAGCAGCCAGGCAGTATACCACCAGGCAGGCAGGCCCAATGCAGCCAACAGACCCTAACCCAAATGACTGGACCCCAAACACCTTCCCCAGGCCACAGAGCCCTCAGATTCATACCCTCCCTTTAGTACATAGGTGTCCAGGGAGCCAGGCACCAATGAGGGGGGTCTCTGCCAGGTGTTTATCATCTCTTGACACCACTGTAACAAAGCAAGAGCATTAACATAATCTGAGGGACACGTGTGTTCTATTGCCTGTACTGACAAAGTGAAATACTTTAAATCTGCCACTTGATGCCAATTGAAAAAGACGCATTCAGATCTCCTCTCCTTCAATTCACAAGGAGACAGCATACTTGCTTTCTGTCCCCAGGGTAGAAGCCACGCACAGTGCTTCCTGTCACTTTTGGGGGAGGGGTACCAGCTGGGATTCCCCCAGCCTCCCCCACCTTTTCCTGATGGTCCCACCATGTGGCACAGCCCAAGATTTCCCTAGGGCAGTACCTTGAGATCTATAAACTGGAGATTCGGGGACGTAGCTTAGGGTAGCGTCTGCGTCATGAGGCCCTGGGTCCCATGCCCAACACCAACACCAAGACAGATAAGATTGACACCCAGAATTCTCCCAGCCTCTGCCCAAACCAGGCTGGCTAGTCTCCTGAATACTAAAAGCTGCCCTGCCACCACCTGTGACATGGAATTCTTAATCCCCAATTTCTTGAACTGTTTGATCCTTCCAGGGACCCCAGGGGCTTCCTCTGCCTCAGCACCCATCCTTCCTGATACCACTTCACAGTGCAAGTGAAGTCCAGTGGACTAGCAGGAAGAGGCCCTGAACCAACTCAACCACACACCTAACCCACCTGAAGGCTCAGAAGCTGAACTGGGCATGGCTTGCGCTTTGTGTTGCTGCACTGACATCCTCACCCCTTGTTTCCCACAATAGGTTAGGCTAGCTTTTAAGGGGCCAGGTAACTTTCTGGTTTTACAGGCCAAGAAAACTCACATTTTCACCTTTTCAGTGCTAAGCATTGAGCCCATCACATAGAGCTACATGCCAGACTGCTTGGTTTCAGACAAGATCTCGTTATGTAGCTCAAATTGGCCTTCAACTGTCACCCAGGCTGGCCTGTTCTTAAAATTGTGAAGCCAGGCATGGTGGCCCACAGCCCATCTGCAATCCCACCATTCAGGAGGCTAAGGCAGGACTGCTTGCAGTTCAAGGTCAGCCTGAGTTGTTTAACTTCAGGGTCACTGAACTATAGTGAGCCCATGTCTCAAAAAGACAAGACAGCTGCTCCAAGATCCCATTTTGTCTTATTTTTCCCCTCAGTAGATGAACAAGCTGGGCATGGTGGTGCCTGCCTATAATCCCACCACTTGGGAGGCTGAGGCAACAGGATCACAAGTCCTACCTAGTCTAAGGTACATAGCAAGACCTTGCACCAAAAAAATATTTAAAAGAAAAATAAAAAACCTAGGACAGGACTCCACATTTGTATCTACCTTGCTCATACTGGTCTACAAATGGATTCTTTGGGGAAAGCATATTGTGCACCGAGATCATGAGCCTCCAACAGACACTTCTGTGGAAAATCACCCATAATCTACGGATCACAAGGGGCAAGCGTGGATAGCAGTCCAACCCTTGGGCTTTGCCAATCTGTTCTGTAGTGAGGTCTCAGTGTGGATTCCTGATACCACCTTCCAGAGAAACCTGCAGCCAGGTTTAACAGTGACTCAAACCCAGCAGTACATTCTCCAGCCAAATTTTCATCTCCTTCCCAAG